TTCTATTAGCTTCCTCATCTCCTTATTTGGTCTCTCCAGCACTTTCTTCCCCAGTCCAGCCCTTTCTGATCATGTCCAGTGGTGCTCTAACTGATCTCCCATGCAATAACTGAACTCACTTTCTCTGCTGAGGGACTTCTCTCTCAAAGCACAAATTAGGTAAGGAAATATTCATCCCAATCCTTACCACTTCTTCTTGCAAACTCTCGCAGCTCACTCTTCCACCAACTTATAGGTTTGAGGGTGGTACAGCGTCGTCTAGATTTTATGCACATGTAGTAGCAGATAGGCCATCTGTAGTAGCGTTGATATAAAATTAGCTTCTTGGTCTGTCACAGAAAAATCTGTTCCACCCAAATTTTGTCCGATGAGACAAAATATTTTATCCTGGGACAAAAACTTTCAGAAATATTTTGTCCTAGGACAAAATTTTTCAGAAATATTTTGTCCTAGGCAAGTTTTTATTGTCCTACCCTAGGACTAATTTTTTTTGTCCTAGGACAAAATAATATATGAAATATTTTTGTCCTAGGACAAATTGTATCTGAAATATTTTATCCTAGGATCATATGCATATATAGACTATTTTGATAAGGAAAATTTACTTAGCACTCAGTATTAATAATAATAATAATAATAATAATAATAATACATTTCATTATCGCACAATAATTGTCTTCATGCAGCTTTTACAACAATTACATGACCAAACGTAGTCCTTATCAGTCCAAACATCTTCTGGTATTTGTTCACACTCTATGTGATACCACTCCTTACATTAAGAACATTTTACCATTCTTCCTTCATTACTATAGGTTGTCTGCACAGGCAGTATATAGGTAACCTGTATTCTTTGGATGGTTCGGGGCATCTAGCTCTTAAACAAGTAGGAAACAAAAACATCACATTCTTTTCTAAGCTTTATAAAAGATGGAAATGAAGCTTATGTGAAATATAGCTGCAAGAAGTTGGGTCTTAACCAGCACAAATTGACATTGCTAAAGCAAGGGCAAATAAACCATAATCTTATTGTCCATTTTGCCTTAATTTGCATACTAGGAACAGTCACTTTAATTCCCTGTACTTGGTGCATTGCGGTATTGCTGCTATCTACTCCCTGGTACGTTTATCAATACCATCACTGGACAAGCTATCATATATCAGTTTGCTATAATTGATGCTTTGATTTAATTATTCAAATCATAAATAGAGATGCATATACATACTGAGTTTGTCTACAAAAGCACAGATATCATACTACATACATACATATATACACATAACTAACTAAACTATTTAAAATACACAAAACACCTACACTATCATGATATAGTTGACCATTCAGTCATCTTGGTCTGGTAATACGGTTCCCCCTTTTGCATAGTCTTGCGAGACTACCTTTTGCACTGAAAACAAACTTTTCAGCTCTTTTCCGTATCTGCCTCTTTCTGTTAGCACTACAACCTTCTGGACACTTTCTATCAGCTAAATACACAGCTGCCTTCTCCACAAGATCATCCTCTTCTCAGTTTCCTGGGTTCTTTACTCGGTTCTTGACGCAGTCTGTCATCCTTCTTCGATCTGAAATCTTCTTCTTTGTACTTTGAACGTATAATAAAGGGTCCCAATGCTTTGTACTTGTATTCCATAGATAAATAATTAAGGAACAAAGTCGAATACAAAGATTTACAGTTCCTTTACACTTTTTTTTTGGTAGGACAAAAAATTGCTGACGCGGACATAAAATATCACGTGATATTTCTATCCTAGGATAAATTTTCACGGGGGACAATTTTTTTCGTGACAGGTCTGTGAGTGTCTCCTCTGTTATCCCTACCTGTGATAAAACTTTGATTAGCAATCCTTCCTGCTTCAGTACTTGGCAATGCAATTGCCTCTGGGTCACAGTCCACATTTGTCAATTTTCTCTCCTACTTCTAGGTAGTGGTCCAACCAAGTCAATTGCTATCCTCTCAAATGTGTGTGCCTTCAAAGGCATGGGTATTGTCCCCGCCTTTACTCGTTTCTTCCTTAAACTCCTCCGACTGATCTCACATGAGTTGCAATGCTAATCCACTTCTTGAAAAACTATTGGCCACTATATCTCTGTAGAGTCCTCTTTGTGATCACTAGATGTACTGCCATAGGTACTCATGGGCTAGATTCAGAACAGCTGCCCTGCATTCCACTGGCAGCACTAACTGTTTCTAGGTGGCAATCCTTTCTTCTTCCATTATCTCAGAAACTGTCCTCCCATACAGTAGAAATGAGCTTTAGTTGTCCTATCCTCTCCAAGTCCTCCATCTAGTCGTCTCTCTTCTGTCTCCAAGGTCCTGTCTTTTTGTTGTAGCTCTTTTATGTGTTTGGGTATGCAGCTAAATTGTCAGACGGCTAGGTGTGTGCTTTGTGCTTGTGGGTGTATTTATTAGGATCAGCTTGTGCATTAATTTTTGTTTCTGCAGTCGAGGATGAATCTTTTTGTTCCTTACTCAGTCCACCATATTCTTTGGTATTAGTAATTTAGTACCTTTGTAGTCTTTATCAGCATTTGCTCCTTGATTCTCTAAATCCTGCTCTTCTCCATTGCTCTAGTCCTCCTTATTGTTCTCTGGGATAGTATTTTAGTATGCTCCTCTTTCTAATTTTCTCCCTCATTCCAAGAATGACTGCTATCCTGTCATAAGTCCCTCTATTTGTTGTGGTCTCTTTTGTCTTTCTGGTTCTCCTTCCCTAAATCCTTTTCTTCTTTCTCCCTTCCCTTTCAGGTTGTATTTTCTGAGTTCTTAGTCTGTGGGGTGTGAGCATTGTGCATGTTACTGTATGTATTGGGGTCTGTGTGTTCATTAATTTTTTTTCTTGTTTGGGTTCAGATCTCCACCATCAATCCTTAAGCTACTAACTCCCAACAGACATCTTGTCAGAGTGATACTGCTACTGGTAAGTTTGGTGCCACTACCATTTGAGCCCACTGCTTCTATTGATCTGCCCCTAGCTCCACATAAGCCGTAGGATATGAGCACACATCTCCATTAACACACAAGACTAGAACCTTCTGCTTTAAGTCTATGTTTACTTTTTTGGCAACTCCTGCTGCTACCATAGTCCTGTCTGCTCCAATATTCACCAGCATTAGTACCTGGCTAGGCTGCTTCATTTGAAGTATCCTTTTTACAATACTTGTAACTGTCCTTATTTCATGGTACGTCATCACGAACTCCTGCAAATATTGCAGACTCCTTTTTGCTGGGACAAATTGTCCCTATCTGCCACACAGGTTTAGTGCCTCTTCTCTCCTCTAGTAATAGGAGTGTACTGTGGTACTCCTGAGTTACAACATTCTCATAATCCCTGTTAGAGTAAGGAGGTTTATTCCCAAACTTTCTTGACTCTCCTTCACCTCTCTTTCCTGTGAAACTTACATTCTCACCACTTCTAATTTGAGAATACTCATCTGCCGAGAGGCTGATTTTCTCCAGTGATTCTGGTTTATGCTCCTTAAGCCACTGTGCCATTTCTGGTGCCACATAAGATAATACTTGCTCCATGACTATTATTTCTTACTTCCAGTTTACTATCCTTAACAAATACATGTATGTCTGCTACTCGACAGACTCACGCATTGTAAGACACCTCTGATTCCTTCTTTTCCTGACAAAACCTTTGCCAACCAGTTTCTTTATTCACCTGATACCAGTGTGTACTATGTGCCAACTGAGTTTGGACCAAGAAGAACTTAAATAACTTTTTATAGAAATTTGTGATAAGGATGATACTTTTACAGGTTTTTTTTTGCTCAATGTCACTTCAGGATTTCAGGCTGTATGTCTCTCAGCCCTTGGGAACCTTGAGAACGAGGTTCTTCCTATGAACCCAATGGCATGCCAAAGCTAACTGCAATGACATTTTATGATGTCACAGTTTACATGAGGACATGTGGTCAAGTGCCCAAACTGATAATTTTTCCTTCAAAAAGCTAACAGAGTGAGATATTCTGATAATGATGACCTTTATGAAGACTAATTGACTCCAGTAGCTATTGTACTGCTGATCAGGAAGAGCAAAACTGCTTTAAGAGTGAGATAGCCAAAATATGGGCCAACTCTCTTAATATCATTATAAACATCATTAGTGACATAGATACATTTTTCAAATTCCAATGCAGCTGCTTCCACTTCCTGTCCATTCTCAGTTGGGACATAGTATGTTACCACTGTCTTCACAATCATGTAGTCGGTTACATTGGTCCCCTATGTAGGGGCTAAAGTTTTTCCAGTGAGAAACCCTGGTAGCTGTGTGGCCCAAATGGCACATGGCTACTACTGCAGTTCAATATCTTCACCATCTTTCACTATCCTCAGCGTCAGTTGAGGAACCTTTGTGCTGCTGCCTGCTTTTCCAGTCTCAGCATTCTACCCCTGGTGCATCAGGCCTCCTGTTTTTGTTGTGTCACCCCCTTTAACAGCTTTTGCTGGGCTTCCTGATCTTACTTTTGATTCTCCTCCTGTTGCATATGCATAGCTTGTTGCTGCTCTGTCAATCACCTGAGCAGCTGTTGAATGTTGTCCACTAGATCATTATTTTGCTCTCATTTGTTGTCCATGGTTATTTTTTCTATACACCTTTCCTGATCTAGTCTTTGCCAGTGTGGATAAACACTGGTCCCTTGTAAACATTGCTGTAGCAGTATCCCACCACTGCCACAAATTTGTTGCATTGCCAAGATGCACTGTATCATGTTAGAAATTTATTGTCAAAAAATGCAATTACTTACTTTCTCTCTCTACTCTCAGACATATACATTTAGAATGTTCCAAGAGCATGGTAGCATGTCTAGTGTCCAATCAGATATGAGTATAATGTATAAAGTGATCATTTGGTATGAGACATTACTTAGTTGACAATTCTCGTCAAGCATAGAGCAACCCTGTAGTATAATGTGAATATTATAATTATTTTGCTTTAATTGCCATTTGGTTGCCAATTGGTGTGATGTTATGCCTTTTTTGCTACTAGGTCATTTGTGGGATGTTTTTCAGAAGTTTGGATGCATAGTATACCTACGACTAGTCAGAGACATAGGTAGGTTCCTCCTATACAGTAATAAGTATTATGCTGCTTGTACTGATGTCATATTTACTAAGTAAAAACTGCAGCGTCTCTTTCATTTTTTCATTTGCATACTTGTGGCAACAGTTTACAAGCCATTAGAAACAAACGATTAGCATTCCTTATACTCTTGCTAATATCTACTTATTTTAGTAGCATTAATTTAAGAGTGTACGTCCAATAATTCAAAAATTGTGATTATACACGCATTAGTCTGTATGTAGGATTGAGGTTTGTTTTTCATAATTACTGCCAAGTTTATGATTTGTAAAGTCTTATTACTCTTTGTCAATATGTTGCTAAGCCTGATAAATATCTATGATGAGCTGACTTTCACTACCATTTTTGTTGTACTTATAAATGACTGTAATGTATTGGAAGCACTTCTAACAAATAGGTTCTAATTCAATTTTCTTAAAGTTTTCCTCTTTTGTTATATTTTTGTATTCACTATTATAATCTTTTAAATATGAAAACAGCAAAATTTAATTTTTGTGCTTAAATGAAGGACAACAAAGGTAGTTTTCAAAAGGAGCAAGCACAGAAAACAAAATGTAGGATCAAATCCTGTTGCAGGCACCTTATGAGTTTGTGGTTTTGTGCCATTTTAACTTAGGTGCATGTGATCAGCATGAATAAAATGTGAGTGTCCTAATCATGAAATTATAACAAAATGTAACTATCACAAGGTAAATGTAAAACGCTACGAATCAATTAACTTTTTTATTTTCAAGAGACACTCTTTAGTCAAGAAAGAGTAAATAAGTGTGATGTCAATAGACTGATGCCATAACAATATAAATGTATCTATGCTGATGCAGACCAGTGCAAATCTTTCATAAAAAAGGTAGTTTTATAGTTTGCTCTTTCTGTTTTGAGTTAAGAATCATTGCAGGTATTAAAGGTACCTTGTATAACTGTTAGTGGGCATATCAAAGGCACTGCCTGTGGTTACAAAGGTGTTGTAGCATGGCCTTCATTTGTAACACTCACTGTGGTTTAATTTGCGTCTCTGTGGGTTGACAGCAAATATTTTTTAAAATGAAGTAATAAGAAGCAACATTATTGTACAGGTATTATAAGTGAAAGTCAATTGTCAATAAAGCTTGCAATAAAGTCTGGCCTAGGCCCAGTGGCCCACAGCAGCCGATAGTGGGTACAAAGTTGAAACAATTGTGAGTGTCTGGAGAGCAGAAAAATTTAGATTGATTCACAGACCAATAATCCATGCAGGTAGAGTTTCACTGCTGTCCTCCTGTGTTAAAATCGAAGCCTCAATACTAAATAAGATGGCCGGGGAAGGTAAGATCGATACATGACCGGCTAACAAGCGCAGGATCTCTGTTCTGGACCTCTTCCAGACATTATAGCCTGAAAATAGTTAGACTATGTCAACCAGAGCACATAGTCACACTGCAAAGCTCTTTGGAATAGATGTTACTATTGATGATCCACTTATACATCCCAGCTTCTTTTGCAATAGCTGCCATCTAACTGGTAGGCGACTAGAAAAACAATAGCAGCAAGAGTCCACTAAATAAAATACAAAAAAATTTCAAAAAAGATAGAGTAGGATTCTCTTTGTTTTAATTCGTGAAAAAAGTAATGAAATTAAGGACAAGTAAGATTCTGAACGACTGATTATTCCGAACGACTGACTACCCATACCAACAAAAATACAAAAAAAGTCCTACTCTTGTGACGCAAATTCTACTCTACATTGTACTTTCAATATTATTATGTAAGAAATTACAGATCACCTTGCAATGTAGAATAGAATTTGCATCATGGGAGTAGGATTTTTGTTTTGTACTTTCGTTGGTATGGGTTGTCACTTGTTCGTAATAATTGGTCATTCAGAATCCTACTTGTCCTTGTTTCCATTCCTTTTTTCACAAATTAGCACAAAGAGAATCCTACTCACTTTTTTTTGAAAATTTTTTGTATTTACTTGTTTGTGTTAATTTTTTTAAATATTTTTATTTGACATTCCTATATCACTAAATGTAGAAAAATCCGTTCTGAGGCCAGTATTACATGTATATCAATAATTTGTTTCACTGAAAGAGATGAATTAAAATAAAATTCAATTATATACATAAGTACACATCTTCATCTTGGTATTTTAAAAGTAATAATAACTTGACTGACTTATTGGGTGACAACAGAGTTAAAGGTTACAGTAACAACTATTTTGAGACAGAAGTTTCAAACTGGGTCTGTGGTGTGGAGGACTCCAATAGACTTCTGCATTGACTCCAGTATATGCACTGTGAATCCTATTAAGATACTTCGCAAGGACTGGGAAGGTGACTCAAAGGAACCCTTCAGAACTCCAAGACATACCATGGTAGGAATGAGCATGACATTCATCATTGATATATGTCCTCAAAGAAGCATCTGACTCTGTGTGGGAATTGAAAATTAACTGGCAGTACAAAGGAATATAGACATAACTCACACTGGCATTAAGTTGAAAGATTTTAAAGTAGAATGAACCTGTACGTATGAATCAGCATTAGTCTAATATTTAGCTTAATGACTTTGACAGCATTTTAATTGGCAATAGTTTTAACAGCATTAGCAGCATCATGCTTAGCAAAGTCCTGACAAAAATTTCAGTTTTGCTGGATACTGTCCTGTCACCATCACAATAAACTGGATAATTATAATATGATTAGGATAAGTAGACAACAGTATACGGTTTAAGTAGATAAACTCTAAAGTCCAGCTATTGAACTGCTATAACATAACCAACTATTGTCAGCATTTTGATACGCTACCATGTGATCTGTCACAAAGAAATGTTGTTCCTATAGTACTGAATTAGTCTTGTCACGCCCCTTCGCTACCTGCGGAGGAAGGGTCTGGGGACACTGCTATATAAAATGTGTGCTTCATGCCAGAGAATCTGGCGTCCCAATCAGATTGCTTGAACCACGTGTAGGACAAGCAGTCATGTTACCAAAGAGCTCTGTTTATGACAAGAGGAAGAATGAGGACAGAATAAAAAAAGGAGGGAGCCTGCAATGCACCCTGGACTTCTTTTTCAAAGTTTAAGAGCAGCATTACTGTGCTGCTTATTACAACGACGCCATCGCACTTATGATGTAATAATACTGTCATGTGTTTATAATAAAATGTCATTGATAACAAGTAAATACTACGGTGATCTGTGAAGAGTTACTGCCCTCAAATTTGCAAGAGATGTCCAAGATACTCTATCCTCATCTTTCTTTAGCTGCAAAGCATCTATTCCAGCTATTTTGACTGATCTGGTCTCCTCTATCACATGACGTAGAGCCAACCATGTGTTCTTTTTTGCATAAGTTTTAGATAGCAGTGTCCCAGACCCTTCCTCCGCAGGTAGCGAAGGGGTGTGACAAGACTAGTACTGAATAGAAGTAAGAAAGCAGTAGAACAGTTAGTGCATCTAGAGTTAACTTGTATCTTTTCTCAATCAAATAGAAGTTGCTACATGCAGTAATAAAATATTGTGATTTATACTAAATATTTTTTCTTGCTTTAATAGTTGTTTGTTTCAACTGTTGTGCTACCATTTTCCAGAGTGTTAAGTGTTAATGTGAGAAAGGCAGGGATGAAGCAGCAAGTGATGAAGTGTGTATATGAAACCTGTAATGTATTTACTCCATGACTTATAATATTTGAACATAGATACTTATCATTTTCATTTTTGTTGATTTCCTTGAAAAGCAGCTATGCCAGGGAACATTTATCATGCAGCTTCACATGACTTTCGTGTGGTTTACATGACTTTCATGTGGTTTACATGACTTTATGTATTTACTGCAATCTTCGCTGACCTACAATACAAGGAGATAGTTACAATGCCCTACATAACATACATGTGTATTAACAAATGGAATCCAAGCAAGAGAAAGATTCAAACAAGAGCAATTTGATTTTTTCATTTAAGTAGCAATAATTGTCTATACCTATGGCAAAAAACATACAGTAATGATGATAAAGTAATTGACAAGGAATTAACAGGAACACAATTAAACAGAGCTTACCTTTATGCATTTTGTCTTGTATAGGTAGAATGACCATAGAAGTATAGACCTGACTCAAATATTTGATACTGTTACAGTATATTGTTTCATGAAAGATATCTTGTTCGATAAATAGAACTAACATCACTAAGAAAGAATATAAAATTCAAATTAACTATGAAATACAAATGCATATGTACATGTAATAAAATAAGAGATATAACCTTAACAATCCACCTTGGATTCTAAAAATTGTTTTCAAAATTACCACTATTTTATTACATTTTCTGATACATATTGATGTAATTATGATATGTAGAAAGTTTGATAATCCATCACATAAACAGTTCATTGATCTGATTAAAAATTTATTGATTAAAATACCTACAGTGTACTGAGAATAGATGAAACTTAACTAAAGTTTGTGTGCCTTCTGTCGAATTAAAATGTTACTACATTTGTCTTTATTAAATATTTTTTTTACGTGTACAATAAAATGATCTACAAGAACATAAGAAAATAAAATAATGACATAATATTGGGGGATACATCTGACCTTTCTCTTCCTAAATAAATGACTTCTGCACTTGGTATCAGCTATGCTAGGGGACAATTCAACGTGCTGATTTTTTAATGTCATCATTATACTCAAATTCATCAACACACGAATTCTCAAGTCAACCCTGCAATTTTTGCTGATTAAGAAAGGGAACACTTTTTCTGTGCTATTATTAATGGCACCTGTATCCCTTCTTTTAGTGTATAGTCATGTGCTGATGACTGGCACACATTTGATTTAATCCATTAGATCTGTTACTACCTTAAAAATGATTTGGTGGATTATAGAGGTAAAGAGCTGGTGCATCACTTAAATCCTGCACATGCTGGCCGGCCATTGTAAGTGGAACAGTCCGGCTGTTATTAATCCACTCCACAGGTTGACATCGACATCTTCGTCGATTGTTAATGCCACACCTGCAGTTATCCATAAAGTTAAAAATAGATGTTTTCAGTAAATGCGCCACAGCATATTCCGCAAAAGTTGAGCCCAAC